TATAATAATAATTTATGACTAGAATCATAGATTAAATACATACGTACATACATATGTATTAAATTTATGCTAGAATTCTTTACAATAACACAATATGACATATCTTTTACTAATGTTTTGTTGTATAGTCTACACGGTATATGTACAGATATATTAATTAAAAAAATTACAATGTTGTGTGTAATTATAGGCATACTATTATTTTTTTAAATACAGACACCTTTAAGAATAAATAATTCTTGATCATCATTATTTTTTTGGAAACATAAATAGTAATCTATTTTTACAAAAACTAATTTACCAACAATACAAAATATATATATTATAAGTTATAAAAGTTAAAATATGTCTCCAAAAGCATTTTTGCTAGTCGAAGTAGTAGTTATAAAATTGAGTATATTTAAATACCTATGTAAAGACTGATCAATTTTTAGTTTCAAATCATAATGAGTTTGCGGCCAAAATAAGAATGGTGTGCTGTCCTTTTAGTCTAAAATTACGACGTTTAGTTTTGAACAAATACAACCCCTATGTAGGTACAATAATAGTTCTAAATTCTAAATTAACTGATTAATTTGGTCTCAGCTTATCACTTTTTACTTGGTTGACAAGGTGCACACAATTAAATAAATAATAATACAGTCAATTAAAAACGTAAAAATTATAATGATATAGTTTTTGTTTACAATTCAAATAGAACCCAAATAAAATATGATTAAAATAAACTCTTTTTGTCTGAAAAACCCGCAAAAACAAAGTATTTAAAAAAATATGGTAATATAATGAAAATATAAAAGATTATTAAAACGATACAAATAAATCAAGTGTTATTCAATTTCGGGAGGTGGCAATGTTTTAGTTTTGAACAAATTTTGGAAAAATGCGAAATTATTTTCTTTTTTGTAGCGAGGTCTTGATGGATCATTGAAATCGACGCCATAGATACCAAATTTAGACCTAAAAAGAATATAATATAACATTTGACTATTAATAAACATGAAACATATTACTTGTATCCACTGGCCCATTCTAACGAATCCATAAAAGACCAAACGCAGTATCCAATAATGTTAATATTTCTTTTTAATGCTTGATCAACCTCGCGTAAAATATCCTGGTAAGTAATTACAAAAATGAAAATGAAAAATTGCACAGTCTCAGAAAAAAATCAAGGTTATATTACATAATGGTATCGCTTTTTCTCGAGAGATTTGTCCACGCCCTCGTCTTCAGCAAATCCATTTTCACAGACAAAGATTTTCGGATGATTTAACACTTCATCAAACCAATCGACTAAATTTCTGAACCCAGCATTTGTCTGAAACCAAATAAGTATATTAATATATTATATTACTTATCGTACCTATTTTTTTTTAATTAGTAAGAAAAAAATATTTATTTTTTGATTACATCTTCTGGTTTATGGTCTCCTTTGAACCCCAATAACTGAACTTTTAGATCTTTGGTCTTTAAATTGTCCTCTTCTTTAAAAGTTAAGTTAGGTTTTGCATACAACGAAAAGTAGTAATTGAAAGCAACGAAATCATAAGCGCCTAAAAAGGTAGGTACAGATAAACATTTTTGTGATAAAAACATTTGAGCTTGGATGATTGAAACACATTAATTAATATATTTTTTTTTAATATCCTATACCTATAAGGATTTTTTTTTCTTGGTCTGTGAACTGAATAATTCTTGTTAAGTTTTTATTTTCCAGTTTATTTGTGGCCTTGATGGATTCTACAACGATTTTTGGATATTCGCCAGTCAACAGAGGTTGAACAAAAATGCCAACCTATAAACACATAATTTAATTCATAATTAAATCATCAAGTTTATTTCAGTTGAATTGGTATTAATTACAAATGATTGAAATGCAAGGTCAGCGGCTTTTTTGTGCTCTTCATCGTTTGGATCGGCCGGGAAAAACCATAGAGTATCCAAACACAAGCTGATTTGACCTAAGCATATTAATTAAATTATTAGAATAATTTGCATAAGCCAAATACAATCAGTTGATCATTATTAATAGGTATTTATATTAATACATAAAACTTAAAACTTATTTGAAAACATTTTTCCAGGGCCCAATTCAATGAAACTCGGGGCCAGATTAGAATCTCAATCCAGGGCCTGGGTAATATACATTTTTACTGATTAACTTAAATCAGTCATCTTTGGCAGGGGTGCCTTAGATCAACCCCCTCTCTTGATATTGAGTCCGAAACCACCTGCTCCCCCCCCCCCTTTAACGTAAGGTGTCGATGGTTTGCTGGTAAGTTCTTACTCAAATCTTTTGCTATGACTAACTCACTATATTTTCTACAACCAACTATAACTTCATCTAACAAGTAACAAATGTAATTGTTGGAATAAATTGTTTTTACAAAATTTAAATTTTAAAAAAAAGATAGATTTAAAGACCTTCTATTTTCAACACTGTAGTTAATAGTTTTCTGTGTAAGTATAGGCGAACAAAAAATAATGGTTGCCCATTGCTCGTGCCAACAGTATGTGTAAAAACAATTATAATACCATGGTTTTTTCTTCAAATAATATATCTATACTTTTTTTTTTATAATTACCGTTAGTTTTTGTAATATTAATAATTAATTACGTTTTCAATTCTTATTTTAAACAAATAAGGTGAATGTTAATGTAACTGTTTTTACTAAAAATCTTTAAAAATCATTTATTGTAGTTGAACATTTTTAAAAAAGTACCATAAAATATATAAAATTAAAAACTATTGATTTTTTCTCAAAAAAAAAATTATATTGACCATTGGATTTTTGTTTACAAATACCCACTAAGGGCCCTCCATACCAGCATTTATTAAGGAGTATTGTATAGGCAATTAGTCACTAAAACTTTAGTTTTTTAAACGTATATATTACCATAGAATAGAAGGAACTATTTTTAGATTACATTTTTTTTTTTTGCAATTTGTAAAGGGTGTTCCAAAAATAGCACAACCGTTTAAATGGCGCAACCATGTTAAAAGTTGCGCTTTTTTTGGGACACCCTTTATAACGCATGTAGGATCTATTTTTGTACAAAATTATATGATTCTACTTCAAACGTACTGTTCCTAAGAATACTTCGATTTAAGTTTTGAAAAAATATTTGAACTCTCCATAACATTTACAAGGTATTAGCCGAGGCTCAATTTTGAAATTATTTTTAGTTAGTTAATTATTTCACTTGGGAAATTATATTTTTTAAGTTTTTTTAAAAAATTTTACAACTATATTAAAAACGAAAATAAAAAATGTACTTTAATCATGACATCAAGCAAGTATTCAAAAACCGATAATTGTTTTCAAAATTATGGTCGGACTACGCGTTTTGGAGTTCTGATTGAATTACAATGAGTTGTTTTTAACCAAAAATACACAGGTAGTGAGATCTTCCGTATAATAAACAGAAATGAATTTAATAACCTTGTTGAGTTTCTCTGAAATTTTCGTTGTACAACCTGTATGCATAACCGTGAGCAAGCAATAAATTATGAATAACCATGTAATCAGCAATGCCGCTAAAGTTTTCGCCCAATGCTGGAGCCGTCGAAGATCCACCATAACCTTCTGCTATTAATCTCGGTTCATTGATTGTGGACCATAATTTCACCTAAAACACAGATGCTATATTAAACTACCCAGTATTAGGTCAAGACTAATTTATACGCCATAGGACACATACTTTATCACCAAACGTTTTAAACACAAACTCGCAATAGTTTGTGAAATATCTAACAATATTACTGTTTGCCCATCCGCCTATCTTTTGAAGAGATTGCGGTAGATCCCAATGATAAATAGTTATCTGCCATCAATCATTATCCATAGAAAAAAATTAGAAACATGTTACGTTAAATTAATTATTTAGTATACATACCTACTTGTACCGCTACATTAAACTTATTCATAGAAAATGGAAAGTTGTATCCAAACAAACATGTACATATATACTAATTTAACATCGAAAAAACCAAAAGAACATTGGAGAGAGTAGTTTAGGGAGGATAATTTAATGAGGAAGTTATGTATCATAAACAATCATTTATTTTCATCTATTGAATAGGGAAATCAATTATCTTACCAACGGTTGGATGTTGTTATCCAGTAATTTTTGTAAAAGATTATTGTAGTATTCAATTCCAGCCTGATTGGGATTTTGATCATCTCCATCGGGCAAAAGTCTTGGCCAACTCAATGAAAATCTATATATTTGAACCTAAAATATACAATTGTTTTATTAAAGATTTTGGTTAAATTATTAACACAAATTGACTTTGAAATGGAATATGATATTAAATGTTTGTTATTATGATTTATGCAAATAAATACTTTTTTTTTAATTCTGATAGGTAATCGAGATGTTTAATAAGCTAGAGACGCTATTAAAGTCATATTAATTAGTTTGCAATTACTCCAAGATCCTTCAGAAGTTGGATATCCATTTCTGTTTTATGGTATGAATCACATGCAATCATGCCTCCATCGTCCATGCTATACATAGAAGGCTCCGAAACTTGGCTTCTCAATTTCGTTGTACTTTTAAAAACATGAAATCCTTTGAAAAAAGTTAATAGATCAATCGGTTCCTCGTCATCACTGATCGTATCGTGATTTTGCAAGGGGATGAATTCGTGGAGCACTTCATTTTCTCCACTATGGAAAAATGCGTCCCAAATACTTGGCGCTTTGCCTAAATAAAATCAAAATAATATGATTTATGTTAATGAAATTTATTGTGTACACATTTTTCACAAAATACCTTCTTCATCCCATGCTCCTTCGACCTGATAAGCACTAGATCCAACTCCCAGCAATAAACTTTCCGGGAATCGAATGACTAAAAAATTATAAACTACATATAGTTATACATTTATAAGTAAAAAATTATTATTCTACACTTACTTTCGTTTGATGTCATTTTTACAAGTTATTTTCTCAATCAATTTTCTAAACAAAACGTTTATAATAATATTAGGTACATGTCTATCAAAACCAACTGTATATATTTCTACTGTTTATATTTTAACTTGTATATATTTTTCTCGATTATTTATAATATTAGTACTTAATTAATTATTATTCCCTTTCAACAATTAAAATAAATATAAAAAATAAATCACAAGCTAAAGTGACTGATGTCTAAAATAAATGATTATAGAATAAAATCAATATGTTTTAAAATATTGAAAACAAATTCAATTAATAAAATATTTTGTGCTAATGAAATAAATTAACCAAATGAAAACCAATACGTTTAACCCATACAACATTTTTTATTTTTTTTTATTATTTCCCTCGGCGGCAAAGGCCATTGGGTTACATTAAATTATTACATTTGGGTTACATTGTGCAGATACAGTACACCCTCATAGACAGCTGCATAATTTGGTCTGGGTCATAAAACTAACAAGCCTGTTAATGGCCCCTGGTTGAGGTCCGAGGGTTTCTGACAGATCCTCCGACATTTCGTTATCAGTTCGTTGAGTCTGATATTTTTGTGCACTCTGTAAGTATGTGTTTCACCGTTAGCCGAACTCCACATGCTTCGCAGATAGGGGATTCAGACTTTGACATTAAGAAGTCGTGCGTCAATCGAGTGTGTGCAATTCTCATTCTGGTAACGAGGACTTGATTCTTTCTAGATAAGTTGGTCGGTTGGGTCCATTTGTAAGTGTGATTTTTGATTTCATTGAGTTTTGTATGTAAGGACCTCCATTGCAGATTCCATTCTTGATAATATGTCGATTTGATATGCAATTTTAGGTCACTGTGAGGAAGAATGTTGAGAGTTCCCGCCGATTGTGATGATGTTGCTTCTTTTGCTGCAATATCAGCTATTTCATTGCCAGCTATGTTACAGTGACCTGGGATCCACATGATTTGAATTAAAAACCCTTGTTTTTGGAGTTTGTACATTAGGTTAAAAATCAACGTGGTCATGTCGGAGGGATAATAAACGTTGTTCAGGTTTTTTATGACACTGAGAGAGTCACTAAAGATGGTGGATTTCCTTATGTTATTTTCTTTAATGATTTGTATTGCTTGTAGTATTGCGATAGCTTCTGCCGTGTAGATAGATGTGAAGTTAGCTAGTCTAAAAAGATGTTTTCTTTCGTTCCAAATGACCGAAATACCGACACCATTTTCGTTTTTGGATGCGTCCGTATAAATTTTTTCTGATTCATCTAGGTGACATGTTTGTAGTAAAAGATGACTGTACATTTTTGGATCTGTACACTTTTTTTTGTAAGTTGTTAAATCTGTATTAATGTTTAAATCTGATTTCCATGGAGGGATATCGGTAGTTTCAGGTTTGATAATGTGTGTAAAAGGGATGCTTTCATTATGTGTACTTTTGCAGATCAAGATTATTTGTTGATGATTATCTAGCAAAGAGGGCGTTCTTGCTAGTCTGTTTGCTAATAATAATGATGACATCTTCCTATGTATTGTTAATGGAGGAATGTTACCTAAGTTGTGGATGCTTGCTACTGGGCTAGAACGAAAAGCACCAATTGCCATTCGTATGCCGGTGTTGTGGATTGAGTCAATTTTTTTAAGAATTGACTGTGCTGCGTTAGACCAGAGAAATGACCCATAATCAAGTTTGGAAAGTATCAAGGATTTGTATATCTTAATTAGGGTTACAGTGTTTGCTCCCCATGAAGTGTGAGAAAGTATTTTCATTATATTTAGTCGTGACAGTGTACTGCTTCTAAGATAATTTAAATGTGCGGCCCAAGATGTTTTTTGGTCAAAAAATACCCCGAGGATCTTGACGACTTTATAGTTGGCTATTTTCTGGCCATCGAGTTTGACATTTAGTTCAGATGGTTTTCTAATTTTTAAAAAAATGATTGCTTGTGATTTAGACGGAGAAAAAGAAAAACCGGAGGTTTTCGTCCATTCTGTGAGATGGTTAAGCGCTTCTTGGAGGTGATATTGGATTGTTGATACTTTTTTGCTTCGGCAAAAAATGTTGAAGTCGTTGGCATACAGGGTCGAATGAACAGGTGGCAGAATAGTATCGACTATGTTATTTATAGCTATTAAAAATAAGGTGACAGATAGGACGGAACCTTGGGGTACTCCGTTTACTTGGATAAGCTTATCATATAGGTTGTTACCAATACGTACTTGGAATGTTCTTGTTTTAAGGAAGTTACATACGTAGTTCATTAAATTACCAGAGCTTAATAAGTGATTAAGATAAACGAAGACAATGCTCACCTTGATCGTCACACAACTCACAACTCCGACGAAGAATTTAGATCTCCCAGAAAAACGTCAAAAATATACGACTCGCCAACCAAAAATTTAACACACCAAATCGATATTCCGTCCTAGATAACACTAATACCAAAGATCAAGAAATGTTTACCTTTAACGACAATACACTTAATATCACACAAACTATTAATCATAACAATCACCCAATACAATCCCAAACGACCAATGACACTCTCAAAATTCCCCCACTATTCATATTAAACATTACCCAATATTCTCAATTTCGCAATGAAATATCTAAAGTCATTAGTAATGAATTTACTACCACATCTAAATACGACAAAATAAAAGTGAACTTAGAAACAGTGGATGACTTCCGTGCTCTAACCAAATATCTAGACATAAAAAAGTATAAATATTATACCTACAGATTAAAAACCGAAAAAGATATCTCCGCAATCATAAGGAATTTACCAATGTCAATAACTGAATTTGAAGTAATGGAAGAATTAAAAATCCTAGAATATCCAGTAAAATCAGTAACTATACTTATCAACAAAGATAAAACCCCGACCCCACTAATGGCAGTTCAACTGATAAATCATCATAAATCACAAGAAATCTTCAAACTCACCAAGCTTCTTCATTACCAAACCGAACCACGCCGGAAGTATAAAGATTCTCCCCAATGTACAAATTGCCAAAGATTTGGACACCTACACAAATCCTGTAAACTTCAACCACGATGTGTGAAATGCAATCTCTCACATCATTGTTTAAACTGTGATAAAGCATCAGAAACCCCACCTAACTGCGTAAATTGTAAAGAAGCTCACCCGGCTAATTATAAGGGGTGCAACTATTTTAAAAATATTAAAAATAAAAAAACAAACTACACCAAAAAACCTCACTTGACCGAAAATGATCCACCAAAATACACATCTATAAATGAAACCGCCAATAATCTCACTAAAAAAATAATAAATCTGAACTCTTACGCAAATATACTCAAAGGAAATACAAATCCTACCCAAAAAAACGAGGATAATATATACTCTGAATCGCAAAATGAAAATCTACAAAAAACAATAACCAAATTTATCGAAAACATTCTACATAACACACAGTTCCATCTTCAACTCTATTTCAAACAATCTATCTTTATCTGGTCTAAATGACATCCATTAATTTAAAAGAAATCAAACTCGTTAACTGGAATGCTAATGGCATTAAATCCAAAAAAATCTTCTCTTATGGAATTTCTATTTCGTCATAAGATAGATATAGCATGCATAACAGAAACTCACCTCAAAAATACAGAAACATTCAAGATCAACGGTTATAATGCATACAGAAAGGATAGGGACACCATCCATACATCTGGAGGAGTAGCGATCCTAGTAAAAAGAACTATTAAACATCACCAATTAACCACCCCTGAATTGATTAATATAGAAGCCACTTCCATAATGGTTTCAACAGATTGAAATTAAAATAATATCCGCCTACAATCCTCCAAACAAAAAAATTCAAAGAGTTGACATAAATGAACTTTTCAAAGGAAACCCAACCATACTCTTAGGAGATTTAAACTCCAAAAATGAAATATGGGGTTGCCTAAAAACAAACCCAAATGGTAATAAACTATTTCAATTCACTTCTGATTTAAGAATTATAATATCACCACCCTCCAAACTTACCTTCCACAGAACAGGTAGACAACCAGACATATTAGATATTGCTCTAGTTTCAAATCCCACAACACAGTTATATCACCAAGTTGTGAATGAACTAGACTCGGATCACGTTCCAGTTATCACCACTTTGTACGAGCAAATGGAATTAATTCCTCAAACCCCAAAATTAATAAACCGGCCAGTAAACTGTAACATTTTCAGGGAAAATCTCAACAAAAACCTTATTAAAAAACAGATCTCATCAAGACATCAAAGAAATAGATACCAACATACAACACCTAACAGAATCAATAAAAAATGCAATCAAATCAGCCTTGGCACCAGAAAAACCAGAAAAAAGTAAACCGCGAGAAAACTCTCTACCGCTCCACATTCAACACCTAATAAAAGAAAAACATAAAGCCAGAAGATTATGGCAAAGAACAAGAACTATAGAAATTAAAAAACGATTAAACCAATTAACACGTAGAGTCAAATGGGAACTCGATAACAATAGAATTTAAATCTTACAAAAATTATCTATCTGAACTGAATCCAAACGATGCCAGCCTATGGACCGCCACAAAAAGAGTACTCAAACAAAGAGACACTATTCCTCCTCTTAAAGCTGGACTGGCAAAATATGAAACAAACACTGATAAATGTAAAATTTTCGCCCAGCACTTTGAAAATTGTTTCACAACTGAGGCTACCTCCACAAATATAACACAGCGAATAGACTCTATAAATACATATTCTGCGGAAACAAATACTATCCATCCATGCAGTCCCAAGGAAATACAACAGATAATAGACAGACTTGCAAATAAAAAAAGTCCAGAACACGACTTTATTACCAATAAAAATCTTAAAAACCTTACCCCAAAAACCCTTGCGTTCTTAGCCAGTATTTATAACTTCATTTTAAGAATAGGATATTTCCCAAACACTTGGAAACAAGCAATTATCATTCCAATTCACAAGCCTGGAAAACCAAACAGTTCACCAGAAAGCTATAGACCTATTAGTTTATTACCTACCCTCTCCAAA